ATTTGGAAGAGAATTTCCGAGCAAAGCATTCAACCTTATCTGTTGTAGATGTTAGGATTTCGAATTGATTGAATAGATGAGGGATAATCTTTAGAACCGAACTTGCGAGATGTTATACGTTGTTACATTTTATCAGCAAACAGTAACTTCGCTTCATTGAGGACATGCTTGCTCTCGTTACGAGCAGAGACAAAGAGATATCTGTTGCAATCAGACGTGTCGCTCTGGTACAGCTGGAAGAAGTGATTCCTATTGGCTATAACGACCGAACATGCAGGTGAGTACCAAGGAGATTAGTGTGGTTTAACTTGGTATTTCCTTACTGGAATGAAAGTAACGATGCCGGCTTTTACCCACAAGGAGAGATCTCAGAGGCGCAGGATGATTAAAATCTGCATTCCAATGGACGTCACGAAGGAAATCACGAAAGGAGTCCCAATTCGCTCGTTGATAACAGAAATATATCCTGTTGGTAGGAGGTTCTTGGCTGGTGAAGGAGCGGAAGGAGATGTTTACAGACACTACCGCATGATCAGAGTTGCCAAGAGGGCAGAGCTGAATAATACGACGTGTGTCCGGGAAAGAGACAAAAAAGAGATCTAGAAGAGAAACATGTCCGTCAAAGCTAACGTGTGAGGAAGTCCACCACTTATATGAGAGAATTGGATGCCAGCGAGGTCAGCGACAGAGTGTTTTAGCCACCTGGCATGGTGGGCATTAAAGTCACCAAACGGGTGTAGGGAGATGGTCTTGTCTATATTATCAGAAATAGTATCTAGCACGCAACAGTAGAAAAAAAAAGAGATAGCTCACTGAGTTAAATAGAGAAAGACGGAGACACATGTAAGAGTGGTGTGGAGATTCAAGAGAGAGTTCCCTAGCCAGCGGGAGATATTCACGGACATACACCCCCAGGCCATGAATCTGAGTCCTTCGCGAGTAAAGGAAGATAGTCAGAAATCGAGAAATCAGAGGAGGGGATTGAAGAGTTAAAATTAGTTTCACAGAGAGCTAGGATGTCCAGAGACTTTTCGAAGAGGTTGTTACGAATACCACGAATGTTGGATAAAGAAAAGTTGAGGGGTTTAGGTGATTTTTCATGAGCTGGTTTAGTTTTATATAGTAGTCATGGTGTGTTGTTTTAGTAAGGAAAGGACTAACAGTCGGTCGTCTAATGTAACATGTGCAGGAAGTGAACTGGCACGGACTGTAACATAGTGTGACCTAGGTGGTTCCCACCGGAGGAACTTGCAGGGACACCATTCCATGAGCGATATGGCACTGCAAGAACCCAGATATTATACGACTGTTGATCAGAGCAAATTCTGAAGACGCCACTGAAGAGTTCGGGCTCCTAACTTACCAGTCGGGAACAATAACCAGAAAACTGTCAACCGGGTACCCTCAGGATGAAGAAAAGTTGCCACCATCCACACATATCACAAAAAAATTCATGACAACACCACTATTAAGGGCTGAGAAAAGGAAAGAACCCCTTCCTAAGCAGGAAACAGGGTATAAGCCTCAACTGTTCAAGAGGAGGGGGAGAAGTATGGACCGGGCGATTGTAAAACTTCGTTGTATAACAATTTTATTACTGCAAATATAATGGTTTCATTTCGTTGAATTCCTAACAATTTTTGTCCTTCGGTAAGAAACCATGTCCTTTAGAAATTACATTTTATCCAAGCTACGAAGTAATTATCCATGCTACGAAGTAATTCTTCTTATTATTATTATTGTTGCAGAGACGATAAGGATGTCGCCCCCGTAAGCTTTAGGAAGGAAGGTGTGAACAGCTAAGACAATGAGGAACAAAGGTAGAGGTTTAGAATAACAAACGTCGGATTTATTTGTCGATCTGGACAAATGTAGGTACAGGAATTGTTTGGTGTAGTTCGATCGTGAAGTCAGGGAGTGCCAGCCGAAGGATCGTTGTTAGGGTTCAAGGCGGCAGCTCGGAGGCAGGCAGATGGAACAGCGGTATTCGAGGTCCAGTCGATCCCCTGATGTTCGCCCTTTGTAAAGAAGCGCGTCGGCGTTCTTCGAAGTGAGAGGATCGGCGTAGACAGTGCTGGCGTAGCCTGTTCGTCCTTAGAAGGACAGTCGTGTAAGAACGCAGCTTGGTAGTCCTTAAAAGGACTATCGCACATAATGTAGCTAGGTAGTCCTTAAAAGGACTATCGCATATAACGTAGCCAAGTAGTCCCTAAAAGGACCATCGCATATCATGTGGCCAGGGTAGTTCTTAAAAGGACTGTCGCATATAACGTGGCCAGGTAGTCCTGAAAAGGACTATCGCATATCATGTGGCTTAAGTAGTCCTTAAAAGGACTATCGCATATAATGTTCGGCTGCTGCTGCTGCTGAAGTTGGTCCTGCCCGCTGCTGCAAAGGTTGGCTTCGTGCGGTCAGCGACGAGGGTCGGCCAGGTAAAGGCGAGAGGGGCAGCACGTCGCTCTACTCCGGGGCCAGGTCAGCCAAGTTGGCCGAGTTATTTGGTGGAAGAAATCGGCTGTGTTTATGTCGGCTGCGGTTAGCATCGTAGCCGGTTGGCAATGTCTTTTGGTTGATGACTAAAAATTACCTTCCGCATTTTGACTGTACACATGGGTTTCATTTGGACACCATGTGTATATAAAGTAGTTTCTGGTCATTAGGAGGACTTGTGTATGTTTATGTTTCATTTGTTTTACTTTTTGTGTATCGTTCTCTGAAAAACGCTGAGTCACCGGAAATTAATGGCATTCGTTCTGTTTTCCGCGGTGATGCTTTCAGACGTTTGAGTAGCCGGCAGTAACTTCCGGCCGGGTGGGATATTATTATTATTGTTGTTGTTGTTGTTGTTGTTGTTAGATCCTTTATACAAAACCCCCAAGGTAACTAACAAAAAAAAAAAACTAAACAAAACAAAACAAAAAAAAAAACACAAAGCTAAACTAGTTGGTGTCCGACGTGTGGCAATATCATATTGCTAGGGGCACGAATAAAATCATTTCTAATTGGCTAGAAAAAGTTTGGCGTATCAAAGAGAATTATCGGAAATATCTTCTTTTAAAGTATTACAAAAGCAAACTGTGTCTTATCTCTAAATTAAAACATACGATAATTTATTCAACCCTGCGTTAGTCAGATTAAGTGTTTTGTGATTCCAAAATCTTTTAAGTACTGGTAATTCCTAGTTGGAAAATTGTTTCTTTTGCTCCTTCCACTATGCTCTTGCCTCAATAACAGCGTGTAGCACCCGTGTAGCGCACTTGTAGTTCAGTAGTCGTAGGACGCAGACATCGCTTTCTCTTTTTCGGAGTATCCTGTCACCCCAGCTGACTAACAAAGCTAAGTTTTTATGATTTATATTTTTTAAATATAATATATATATATATATATATATATATATATATATATATATATATATTTTCTATTATTCTTTTCAGTGGTGTAATTATGAGTTTATCTCATATTGTTCTTTTCACAGAATTATATTGTGGCTATTTTTGATGAATAAAACTTTTCTTTATTATTGTATTGGTGTGTTTCATCTACAATTTACAACACGTTTCTATGCAACAAATTTATTAATTTTCATTTCAATAAATAATTTAATTATCTTTAGTTCCAGTTTTGAGTTAATGCATATTGTAACGGTGATTATCTGCTATGTTATTCTTTTCAGCAGTACGACAATATTTTACATAACGCTATATAATCATTTTTCATTTTGTATTCGAGTATGTAAACACCACATTTTCACAAATCCGAGGTAACTAACGCAGAATTATTCAGTTAAATTTTGCTGTGAAAAATGGATTTAATTTGAAAGACAAAATATGAGATGAGAGCTTAATAAAAAAAACGAATCTTTTCTGTCTGAAATGGAACAATCGTCATTTTTATACACTGATTTGTTCTCGTCTTCGTAGTTATAGTCACGACCCGTTTCGATCGTCGCCCTGTCCGGCCTTCTTCAGATAACTATCGTGTTCGATAACGTTCTCGGATTTTCTAACTGAACACCATGAACACTCTGCTTTTTGGACTGAATTAAAAAAAAATCAATTCATTGTGGTAGGTTTTCATTCCTTGGTTCACGCTAAGGGGAGATAACTTGTATTAGTTAATGCCGTTTGTTCATCCTTTTTTTGTGAGCCGTCCCGGTGATGATGCTTTTTTTTTTTTTGCGTGTTCTGCCGGATTACCTGATACAGGGACTGAATTTACGAGCACCGGGTAAACTGCAACATATATACCCACGTATATACGCACTATGCCGCTGCCTCATAGAAAGGAATCCATTTTAGGGCTAAATAAATGCGCATCAATTACAAATTCATAAAAATCGATTTTCATTAGTGAAATTTTTATAAAAAATTAAAATATTTGAAAAGAAAAACAATAATAATAATAATAATAAATGTAATCTTTGTAACATTTAGTTGTTGAATGACTTTGAGATCGTTTGCCCAAATGTCTCGCATGAGTGAGCTTGCATGATTAAATGCTTCGCTCAAATGGACCTCCATTAGGATTTATCAAATTTTTCTTCTTTTACTTGAGTGGATAAAAAAAAACCTTCACTGAAGTAAAAAAAAAAAAAAAAAAAATAAAATAATTTTACGTTAATGAGATAAATATTACTTGATAAAACAATTTTCTGAACTTCAAAATCTCCAGCGCGCGAGAACCGAATTTAATTGCTCTTTGTCAACCAGTGTCCAAACGACAAATGAAATGTCTGCTTCGAAGGAGACAGTGGAAACTAGGTGTAAGATTGATTTGTTTTTACGGCTTATCAAACTTTTGAGATTATTTAAGGCTAGCATATATTTTAGGATTGTAAGTATTATTTTGGAGATAATAATGATTCTCTGATTAAGAGTCGAATTCATAATTGTTCAAGGGCATTAGCGCTGTCAATATAACAAACCCGACTGGAATTGGAACTCGGCCTCGCCGATTTCCAATTCCGAGACGAAATCCATTACACCACTCACACATCCAAGCTTACAGCACATGCTATTCCCAAGCGGTCACCCAAGTACTCAGGCACGACGTTGCTTAACTTTGGTGATCGAACGAGAACCGGTGTTTCAGCATGTTATTAGGTAATTTACCTCATTACCTCCATTATTAGTTAATTTGCCTCATTCCTCAACCCATCCCTTATTATTTATTTTACCTCATTCCTAATTTCCTTCCTTATTAGGTAATTTACTACATTCCCCATTCCCTCCCTAATTTACCTCATTCCTTAACCCCTCACTTATTAGGTAATATACCTTATTCTTAATTCCCTCCCTTATTAGGTATTAGTTATTTGACATTTTAAATGCCTTCTTTGAACTTAACTTACGTTCTATTTGAAAGATTATGGTTTAAAGCTAATCCGAATTAAAAGAAAATAATTTCCGTACATAAATAAACTTTTTAGGTATTTTTAACTCATTAGTACTTTTTTCGTCACTCATAAAGTCGTAGATGTATACGAAAAATGTAAACAACAAATTTAAAATTCTCTTTAAAATCCAATATTTATTTTAGAGGTGTGTTACAAAGTCCATTAGTAAATTTAAGGATTAATTAACTGGATTTTCTAAAAGAAATGCTTATTTTTACTTAAAACAAAACGAAAATAACGTTTTGTTTAAGGTCAAGGGACATGATAGAAAAACACTATTTCTACCCCTTTTCGAAAAAGCGCAGGAAAAAGAAAAAGTAAACCTAAAGAAGTACGGAAGACCAGCAGTGCAATAATCAAGAATTTGTTATTTGTGTTTAAAACTAAATTTTCTTTAACTTTATATAACCAATAGTTTAAGAACATAATCTTATCATTTTATACGCTTTTACTAAACTTAGTATAATGAATAATTTTATTTTTTTATACTGACTGAACGGGAGTATGAAATTATAATACTTCTCTGTTATTGAATAGTAGTCAGTCAACACGATAGAGTTATTTTTATTTTTGTACATCTATACTAAAATAATTTAACAGTTGCTAAAAGAAAAATATAAAATAAAATTATTTTTAAAGAAAGCTTCACACTCGGAAATGGCATTATTAACGCTTACAGCTTTTTTTAAGTTTTCAAACATATTTAATAAAATAAACTTGTGATTAACAGCAAAGGGATTATTTTAAAATTGCACTGAAAAATTACAAATATCTAAAAAAAAATAAATATTAAGTTTAGATTTTTTTTTCTGTCGAATTTGAAAGAACATAACGTCGTTTATTAAATTATTCAAGCACCAATTCTCCAAAAAGAAAAGTTTTTTTGAGCTTTATTTTATTTTTTTTTTTTTTTTGCAATATGCAAGTTGAATATTCCGTATGTTCACACTCGATATTGCTTAAATTTTTGTCCGAAATATCTTCAGGGATTTCTTTTTATATACCTAAAAAAAAAAAAAAAATTGGGAAAAAAAATCTAGAAAAAAAAATTAAAAATTATACACACAATATCGAAAAATGAGAGTGAAACATACCTCGAAAAATATTTCCCCAAGGTTTTCTAATAAAGTAAAATATATTTATTCATTAATGAATAAGTCCTGAAAATTTCGTTTAAATCGGATAATTCCCTGATTTTGGGCAATATTTTAAAAAAGAGATTGTCGATTTTTTACTTTCATTGCAGAAAAGTAAATGTTTTAGTGGCACGTAGTAAATACAGTATCATGGGTTCTGTTTTAAGACTGCAGTTTAAATGAGGTGTTTTTTGTGAAAGGGAAAGTATTTGAGCGCATGGATCAGTGATTGTCTGATTGTGATAAGGACAAATGATGATCAGCCCTCTCATTCTTCTATTTTTTTGGCCTTGTGCCATATTTCTAACTTTTGTCCAATAAATATTAAACTAAACGGATTAAGAGTTTAAGGATTTTTCATTTTGGTATTATTTTGGGTGGGGGAATGTGTAAAGTTTGGAATCTTACTACCTTTTTTTTATTTTTACTACAATAGGTTCAATCAATAACCCCCTTCCAGTGATTACAGCAAGATTCATTACACACATCCAGAGATTTCCTAAAAATGAGCATACGTGATAATAAAAAAAAAAATGCCGTAAACTATTTTTTATCGTTAAAATCTTTGTTTTATTATTAGGAAGAAATACGAAAGGATTTTTTTTAATGCAAAATATTTTTATAATCCTTTTTAGTAAAAACCTTCGAAATTTTGGTTAAGAACCTTGTTTCTCTGGCATCAACGGGCATCAGAGATTTGTATAGGAAATTTAACCTTGATTTTTGCAGTGAAGAGCACATTGGTTTGGAAATTCTTGCAAAACTCAGATAATTAACGAATTTTAATAAAATTTTCAGGATTTATTCCCAAATGAATGAAATTATTTTTTTAAATGTTTTTTTTTTTTTTTAAAGAAATAGGTATCTTTTTACATTTGTTAACCCACATTTATTTATTTTTATAAAATTTTGAGAAATTCAATTTTGTAGCGATTATTATAAGGACAAGTCCTCCGAGAATTTAAACTCCGAGAATTATAAATCATTAATTTTCTTTTGTCAAAAAGGACTCGCAGTTCTGTTCTGAATCGTAAGACAAAAAATGCAATTAACAACATCAATAATGTTGATTATGATGATTGTAAGCATTTCCAGTCCCACTAGGGAATGCTGGGAGCAAAACAGATCGAGTGGGAGTTTGAATATAAAACAGTTGCCAAGTTTACCATGTCTCATCGTATATGCTTTTGTGTTGATTTAACTTTTTAGCGGCCAGTCTCATAATTTATCCTTCTACCCTAACGCCAGTGGAATAGTAATTAAAACTAACACATTGCTTAATAATTAGAAAAGCTTTTAGCTTTTATGAATAAAATATATTATGGACACTATTGTCATAAGAAAAAACACATTTTCAATGAATTTTTACAATAATTATTTTCATTTTAAATTTTTTAAAAATCTTTTAAAATTTTGTTAAGACAGTGAAGAATTTGCAGAGGGGAATTAACAGGAGATAATTGACATCCATTAGACACGGCGCGTGGAACTAGAACAGTCTATCCCAGCGAGCGAAATAAAGGGTTCAGTTAGAAATTCCAACCACCTGAAAAAGACCGGAGCGTACAATGGCCGAAACGTTTTGTTAAATATGGCAACAAAGATGAGGACAATAGTCCGAATAATGTAAATAGTATAAATAAAAACTATATTTACTAATAATAATTGGAAAAGCCAAATTCAATAACTCGCAATATCTTAAAAAGAATTTTGATTTTTTTGTGTATATAAACGTGCCGATTTTTGTAAGTACGGACGTCTATATACGACATTATCAGAAAATAAGAGCGGTAACTATGGTAAATTTAAAATCTATTGGTTATTTTCTAATATTTTCTCAACAAACATCTTCGTAAGTAAGACTATTAAGCCAAACTACTTAGTAAAGTTAAAATTACAGTTTATAAACACAATCTTCGACAATTTTTCTCGATTGATCATATGTTTCGTGAACAGATGTGATCGTTCGAGAAAAATAACCAAACGCTTCTCTGTAGCTAAATGGTATAGCACATCAGATCAGATGACGGTTTCCGTATAGGAATACAGCAGGTTCAATTCCTATAGGAGAACGTATATTTTCTACGAAATTCCTCGAACATTCAGTCCGGTAAATGTAATTAATACTGTTTAATTAAAAACAAAAAACAAAAAAAACAAAAAAACAAAAACAAAAAAAAACAGAATCAACTTAAATAAATTGTATCTATAAAAATAACGTATAAACAAAATATTAAATAACTGTCTGAATTAATCCATTTCATTATATATATATATATTTTATATAATAAGTGCGAAAATGTCTGTGTGTGTCACATTTAACGTACAGATACTGTTTTATGGCCTCTTCATGTACCTTAAGAACTAATCCAGGTAACGTGAAACTGTTTTCTGGAGTACGTGATAATCAAATTGGGGGAACATGACAAAAAAAAGTGGTGGATGGTAACAATAAAGTTATTGTTATGTTATTTTAGAAACAGTTACGAGTAAAAGTGCTTTATTCATTGGGTGCTCTACAAATTAGATCTTTTACCCTACATGAACCACTTTTGCTCATGCAAAAAGCAAAGTAAGTTTATATTTATCAGATCAAAAGCAAAAGTTCTTTGCTGATATTCGCCATTCATATAAAACTATTTTTTTTTAAATTAAGTACATTCAGTTTTTTGAATATCGAAATCTGTGGGATACGCAATCTTTTATCTCCACTAAGACGCTACATAATCTTCTAAAAGTTAATATTTTTTTTTTTTGATTTTGCTATCTCATGGTTGAGACATATTCCACAAGAAGCTAGATTCTTTTTTATTTTGAACGAGTAAAAATGTCAACATTAACAAATGAAAATCATGACTGTCAGTTAAACCACCCTCTGCCAGTGGGCAATGAATAAGTCAACATTCAATGGATGAGAGCTGAATTCGAAAAAGATCGATAAACAGGATTAAAAACGATAAACACTCATTCTGATCGAAGTAAATAAAAACGAATTTGGCGAATTAAGAAAAAAGGTCGAGGGATTACTTAAACCAAGCCATAACCAGCAAGTAAGATATTTTAAAGTACAAGAAAAAAAAAAATGTTTAAATTACCAGCAATTAAATGTCATAGATGCAGAGTAAAAGTATTTAGCCACTTCCGGTTATTAGCTTTCATGTTGCTTTCCTTCCGTAAGTTAATAAGTTAGCACTTGCGTTATGTCCTTTAATAGTTTGCCTGTCCCCCTGTCCGCAAATTGTTGGTATAACAGCAGCAGGCTTACGGCCATATCACATTAAAACGCCGGTCCTGGTTCGATCGCCGAAGTTAAGTAACGTCCATCCTATATCAGCGCCTAGATGAGTGACCACAGGTTCCGTAACATTGGATGTGCGGGTAGTGTAATGAATAACGGCTCGCAATTGGAAATCGGAGAGGCTGAGTTCCAATTCTAGTAGGGTTTGTTATATCCATTTACGCCTAAATACTACCTCTTCTCCTCTCAGCTATGGGTTAATTAGTAGGACTTGTATCAGTAAATCACTATTATTTCCAAAACATTCTTAAGATCTATAAATA